CCACCTTTTCTCGGTCTTGTTCAGCTTGCGACTTTCAAAGGCAATCGGGTGACCATCTTGCATGAGAACGCCCCCAATGGCGAAGTCCGAAGCGTCTGTGCACACCTCGAACGGTTTTTCAAAATCAGGGAGAGCTAGGACTGGCTCTCGAGTGACGGCGTCCTTTAAAGCCTCGAACGTTGTTTGGTGTTTTGGTGTCCAACACCAAGCTTGCCCTTTTTTCAAGAGATCCGTTAGTGGAGCGGCTATAGCGGAGTGCCCTTCAATAAACCGCCTATAGTAATTAACAAGCCCCAAGAACGATCTCAGCTCCATTGGCTTCGTGGGTGCCTCCCACTCCACGATAGCTTTGATTTTGGCTGGATCCATGCGGATTTTGCCCCCACCAATGATGTGTCCCAAGAACGACACCTCCTCAAGGCCGAAGGAACACTTCTCCCTTTTAACATAGAGCTGGTTTTCCCTAAGGACTTGAAAAACAGCTCTAAGATGCTCCACATGCTCCTTCATTGTGTTACTATAGATAACGATGTCGTCCAAGTATATTACAACGAACTTATCAATGAAATCCGCTAGCACACGTTGCATCAGAGTGCAAAACGTGGCTGGGGCGTTAGTTAAACCGAACGGCATAACAAGAAACTCATAAGAGCCATACCTCGTCACCATGGCCATTTTGGGTTCATCACCGGGTGCTATGCGTACTTGGTAGTACCCCTTCCGCAAGTCCAACTTGGAAAAGATCTGTGCACGTTGCAGCCGGTCGAACAAGTCCGCTATAAGTGGGATAGGGTACTTGTTCTTCACGGTTAGCTTGTTTAACTCCCGATAGTCGATGCACAAACGTAGCGTCCCATCTTTCTTGCGTTGGAACAAGGCCGGTGAACCCCACGGACTTTTAGACGGCCTTGCATGACCCGATTCAAGTAGCTCCTTGATTTGCACCTTGAGTTCCTCTAGCTCGCTAGGAGACATACGATAAGGCCTCTTGGCTATCGATTTCGCCCCGTCCACCAACTCGATGGCATGATCAACCTCCCTCCTTGGTGGAAGACCTTTGGGCAAATTGTCGGGCATCACGTCATTGAACTCACCAAGGACTCGTTCTATGGGAGGCGGGATTCGTTCCTCCTTTGCTGGCTCCTCTGTGCATGGTTCCTCCTCAAACACCATGGCGGCAAAGGTGTGTTCACCCCGTTTTAGCCCCTTGTTCAGCTGGGAAGGGCTAATCTCATTTTCCCGTCTAAACTTTACCACACAAGGCTTCTCGCCTTGGAGGATCACCATCGTGTCGTTGCTAGGCACAATGATCGGCTTTACCTGGTCTAAAAACTCCTGCCAAACACAAGACCATAAACGTCCATAGGTGCAATGGAGAAATTAGTTGTTCCTGACAAGTTGCCGATTTTAAGAGGCACGTCTCTTGCTTCGCCCACAAGACCTGTCCATTCGCCATTCACACCCTTGAAACGGCCTTTGCTAGGTGTCCACTTGACTCCAAGCGTACGGGCTACCTCTTCCGTGAGATAACTCGTATCGGCCCCCGTGTCTAGCATACCTCATCTAGACCCGTTTTCGAACGATGCCTCCATGTAAAGACGGCCTTGACGTGTCTCGGCCTTGGCATGCACGGCGTCTAGCCGTTTCATGCAAGCGACCCGTTTCTCCTCTTCTTGGCACAAACCTTGTGCCAATGCAGCCAACTTCGAACGAGACGGGCAATCACGTGCCATGTGCGCTCCCCCGCACAAGAAGCACCCTTGAAACTTCTTTGGCTTGTCCCCCTTGGTCTCCTTGCTCGAAGACGGCTTTGTAGAGTCGGCTGCCGGTTTCGCGGGTGTGGAAGACTTCCCTTTGTCTCCCCCACCTTTGCCTTGGAACGGCTTCTTGCCCTTGTCCTTGGAGCTATCCTTCTTTTGGAACTCAACAAGCGACTCGGCCACCTTTAACGCCCGATCGATGTCCTGGACTTCTCTCCGTTGTAGCTCAAGTTTGGCCCAATGGTTGAGACCGTCCATGAAAGTAAAGAACGCCTCCTTGGGCGAGTGATCCGGAATTTCAAGCATCAAGTCCGAAAATTCCTTAACGTATTCCCGGATTTGGCCTTCCCTATGGTGCAGACAGCGAAGCTTGGCCCGGGCTTCGTCCTCCGCATCCACGGGTAGGAAATATTTTCTAAACTCTTCCTTAAAACATCCCACGTGGTGAAGACCGAATCTCCGTCCCCCACGGGTTTCATCATACGTTTCCACCATGATAAAGCACTATCTTTAAGATAAAGAGAGGCTTGGAAGAGTCTTACCGAGTCGTCCATAATATTCATAGCCCCAAAGTACCGTTCCATGCTGTAGAGAAAGTTCTCTACGTCCCTCAAGTGACGGCTGCCCTTATATTCGTCCGGCTTGGGCGCCTCAAGCCTTGGAACCGTCCCTATGGCTCCGGTTGTCCCTTGCACTGCCACGGCGTCAAGCCATGCCTTAAGACGCGCCGATTCTGCCCGAGAAGTCTCCAGCTCTCCCATAAGCCGGTTGACGTCGTCTTGGAGGGCGGCAACACGAGCAAGGCTTTCCTCCTTCGACTTGTTGCAACGTTCCACCATTTCGTTGAGCGTCCCTAGCATGTCGTCCTTCATTTGCTGCATGACCTCTTGCAATTCCCCTGCGAATCGCTCCATGCGAGCTTCGACGACCCCCGCTACCACCTCAGGGTGCTCGTCCCAACGGTCTTGGTGGTCGGCCACAGCAAGCTCTAGCTTGGCAAGCCGTTTCTCGAATTCCACCATCGGCTCTCTAACGACCGACTTCTCCTTGCGGCTTCCTTTGCGGGTGGTCCTCCCCACCTCGCGGGAAACGTGATCCCCCTCAAGCTCCAACCCCTGAACAACCTCCGAAGGATTGGACATAGCTTATACACGAAAGAAAACTAACAAACGGAAGCGTAGACGATGTAGTACACCAAGTATCGAGCCGAGGCTCTGATACCAACTGTCACGGGCTTACTTTTTCAAAGTAACGGCCATGCGGCACTAGCACAAAACAACTAACGATCAAGTGCTAGCTCAGCCTTAAGACCCCCAAAGCGTGCAAAGCTAGGCAGGACTTTAAAGAACGGAGGCAAAGAAAAACTTAAGAAAGGTTGAAAGTGAAAGAACGATGAAGGCACAAGAGAGCTTAAGGAATCCTTGAGAACTCTACTCAAAGCTTGGATGGATTACAAATGAAGGGGGCATGGGGTATTTATAGGCAAACCCCAAGTCCTAAAGAATTCTAGAGAATTCTATGTACATAATAAAATAATGGAATTCTAGAGAATTCCTACAATAAAATATTCTAAGTTCAAAATATCTACAAGTCTCTAGAATCTTCCACACGGTTCTAGCAAACTCGGGTAGCTTCCACACGGTTCCACCCGTTTCTAGAGAGTTCCGGGCCTCTCTAGAAAATTCCAGAGTCTTCAAGATTTGACCGGAAAATTCCACAAGGCTCTAGACCGTTCCGTCCCGTGTCCGTCGACGAAAATAGCCCGTTTCGCATCAAACCACCCGAATTCGTGGTGAAGAAAAACTGTCCGTGACACAAGGATTATGAATCCCACATCGGAGACATGAGGACATGTGAATCAGTTAATAAGTAAGGTGGTCTCAGAACCCATTACCTTGAGCTTTTGAGTTCAGATGAGTCTTATCTTACTTATTGGGCTCCAAGCCGGGTTTTCTCCTTTGGATAAATCCTCAATAGTGATATCAGAGCCCAGGTTGGGCCAAGTGGATGGATGATTTCACCCAAATTATCTCGATTAATCTGAGTGAACCCAGGCAGTCGAACGCCCATTACAAGCAGAAACGTAGTGATGGGCGGCCCAGTTACTCAGATAGAGTATAGATTTGGGCTTGTCAAGATAATTTGAAAGCCTGATGTGGAGATTGCCCATGACGGGGGAGAATGTTGAGAGTCATATGGCAAGGATTATGAATCCCACATCGGAGGCATAAGGACATGTGAAGGATTATGAATCCCACATCGAAGGCATAAGGACATGTGAATCAGTTAATAAGTAAGGTGGTTTCAGAACCCTAAGGACATGTGAATCAGTTAATAAGTAAGGTGCTCTCAGAACCCATTAGTTTGAGTTTTTGAGTTCAGATGGGTCTTATCTTACTTATTGACTCCATGTCAGGTTTTCTCCTCTGGATAAATCTCTAACACTTTACATATCTTATGTAAGGACAATAAGTTTAAGTTGCTGTTCACCCACCCGGAAAATCCGGTAGAGATATAGAGATTTTAACCTTGGGAAAGATGGGCTGGAGGAGAAGGTAACTTCTTTTGATTGTAAGTCAGGGTATATAGTATCTTGTCCTGATCTCAAGAATTTGTCGATCGATGAAAATACACTTTAAAAAATTTGCATTAATTCTTTCTTATGGGTTTTTTTTTTTCATATATATGCATACACTTTTTTCAATATGATTTTCATAACCATTGGAGTAGCTTATATCTTTTGATAAACAACTAAATAACTCCTGGAAGAGTTAAGATCAACTTTTACGTCGATTAATTAGTAATTTATGTCGACGGATTAAAGTTAGCATATTTGAAATTAGTGAAACACAGAATATGACTTATTACGCATGTCGTTGTAATCGTATAGGTACTCATAATTAATAATTAATATTACAGGTATTTTTTTTTATATATAAAAAAAAAACCCTTCATGGCCGGTTGGAAGAAAGCGAAAGCAGGGAGATCCCAGGGATTTGCTGACTAGAGAGGAAAAAAGTTATAATAAAAAAGGAACTAATTGAGGGATTTTTGGGGGAAAAAAGAAAATATATCCCATCGAGAATGTCTCAATGTTGCTACTTCTTTTTCCAGAATCATATTAATTCCAAAAACCCTAATTAACTATAGCCGCCAAATACAAGTTTCTATTGAAATTTTACAGACTTCTATCAAGACAAAAGAAATTAGGGCAGGCCAGTTAGGTAGGGGTTAATTTCGATGGCAGAGAAGAAGAAGAGAAAGGTTATGGATGTAACAACCAACACTCTAAAGTTAGGTAGGTTTTTGATGGCTAGAAAGACGAAAAGAAAGGTTTTATTAGATCATAAAACCAAGAAGAAACTAAGGAGGCCAACTAGGGTTAGGAAGATGGAGAATATTATTCGAGTTCCAGATGATGTTATTATGAAAATCCTGGTTCTTCTCCCAGCGAAATCTCTAATGAGATTCAAATCCGTTTGCAAGCAATGGAAAACCATGGTATCCGATCCGTGGTTCGCGAAGGCGCATTATGAGCAATCAAAAGGTATTCCAGAAGCTAGTTGCTTGTGGTTACACTTTAAAACAAATTCTTCTTCAACTATATCACAAGCAATCTACCCGGCAAAAAGCGTAGACGGAACCTACTCAACTCGACTTCAGACCTACAACTTCGTCCGAGATTGCTTCCCGTGCTCGAGTATTGTCAATGGGATGCTTTGTTTGTACGAACAAAAATACAAAGATTATCAACTTCACTTCCTAAACCTAACTTCGGGTGAGATGATATCTTTGCCGAAACCTTTATCTTTACTTGGTAGCTGGTTGATTCCGAAACAGTGTCGGTTCCATATCTTATGCGAGGATCACAAGTTTAAGCTCTTGTTCATTGAACGCGAATCCAGAAGATCTCGTGGAGGTATGATGATTTTTGCCTTTGGAACGAAGGAGTGGAGGAAGTTGACTTGCACTCTTGAGAACCTAGGAAAGAAAGCATTACATGTTAATGGAAAAGTATATTGGCAGGATAAGATCAAGGATCAGAATAATAATGGTCAAATGATTGTGAAGTATTTCGATTTTCATGAGGAAAATGTATTTTTACTAGAAACTCCAGAACTAGGAGTGGATGAACGTTGGGATTTGGGTGGAATCGGGAATGATGTCGGGCTTGTATGCCGAAAAAGCTGCATCCCTTGTGTGTTCAAGATGTGGAGATATGAGTCTGAGATTCATCAATGGATGAAATATGAAGTGAATCTGGGAAAGGAGTCAATCTGGAACGTCCAATTCATTGGAGGAACTAGCAAAAGTAGTGAAATCTTAATCACTGGCCAAAAATCGCGGTACGATCGTGCCTTACAGTGTGTATGTTATGATTTTGAGACAAGAAAATGCAGTAGACCTCCCTTTGAAATTTTCTACCCTGAGAGTAGTAGGCTATGTTATCATGATTGTGGCAGACCAGTTAGTTATCATATAGAAAACATTCTTCCTTTGGAATCTTTGGGCAAAAGAAAAAAATTGGAGGAATATGCTGAAAAAGCTATAAAGAAGAGAAGAGTATTATGGTAATCAGATTTTCGTTCATATTATTGTTTTAATTTAATGACGCAATATGTCATAAATTTGCGACGCAATGAAAAGATTGACGCAAACTTATGCCACCTCCTGAAGTGTCGGTAAAAGTCTTTTTTCTTGTAGTGTTGTGTTCCTAGCAACCATTGTGATTAGTTTTATCAAAAAAAAAAATATATATATATATAGTGATTATTTTTATCAGTTTATTTTTTAGTAGGTACCAATCGTTTCCTTCAGATTCTGGTTTTAGATATATGTCATGATTATGCTAAACAACTACTTTCTCCATCTCACAATGATTGACCTGTTTGTTGGACAATATTTTTCTTTTGATACCGAGAGAGTCCTATTTTGACACAATAAGTGTTGTTGACTTGTCTGGTTTCTTTATGGAACTACCGATTTCTTGCTAACTCTTTTCTTGTGTTGTTGTATTTGAGGTTGTATATTCTTCTCTTCAGGACTTTAGGCATGGAGCTTGTTATATACTCCCTCTATTTTAGAATATAAGTATTTTTAGACTTTGCACGTAAACTAAGGAGACAATTATCCAACAATTTGCATGTTAAATATCTGTTTTACCCCTCATTAAATACATTGAAACTATAAATAAGACTAAATGAAAATAGATTAGTATCATTTATTGAGGATAAAGTTTGAAAAATAGTCATTAATTTGCCTAGAATTTGTAAAACGACCTACATGTTAAAAAATCTTTTCAAACCTAAAAAGACCTACAAATTGAAATGGAGGGAATACTGAAACACAAAAACTGCCGATAGAGAAATTGTCCCATAGTCAAATATTAGTATTTCTTTTTTCTAATACAAATGGAGTACATATTTTGTTAAGAGCAATAATATTCTTCTCTACAAATATAACTCTATTCATAACTCTAGTTATATGTCTATTTATTTGGTATTCCACATCATCTCTCTATGTATTAGTTTTTCTATTTACAAAAAAAGAAATAATCTCAAAAGAAATTTTATCCTTTTCCTTCGGTTCTTTTCTTTTTGTTTCCTTTTCACCATTCATAATCAGAGAATTTCCCTCTCGCAAAATTCTGAGAATCATCATTATCAAAATTCTCATCATTCGCCCAATTGTAACAAAAAACAAAAAATAAAAAATTCTCATTTGCCCAAAAAATCAAATTAATTGAAGCCATGCCATTGTTGGGATTTTCATGGATATTTTCCAGTAGTCATGATTCTGAATCAAACCGTGCTATTGCTGGGTTTCTCTATCCAATCTCCTATCTATGTGAGTGGTTAACTAACCTACTGCGCAAAAATTCTTAGAAGCAACAAAAACTAATACCTCATACATTAACCTAAAATTTGTCAAGATTATGTGAGATTGATGTTAACGAAGAATGGTTTTCGATTGGTGATGGGAACCTGAATTTTTTGTCTTCTTTTTTGTTTGAGGGTTATGCAACGCAGTGGTGAAAAGGGAAGAAAAAGAAGTGGATGAAACTTGAAAGTTTTGCTTAAAATTGATTTTTTTTAGTACAAAGAAAAAAGAATAAATTTCAATTTTTTGTAAGAAGAAAAAATAAATAATAATTGTGGAAGTGATATGGAATGCCAACTAGATTAGACATGTAAGTAAAGTTATAAATTTAGAGTTATATTTGTAAAAAAGAATATCATTACTCTTTTGATAAACATTATCTTATCATGCCCAAAATTATGAACTTTGTCTAAAGTACCATACATATATACTTGTTAATTAACTTAAGATAACACCAAGATAAGTACAATGCCCAAGAATTCGAACCCACAAGCCACACCAACACAGCCAGGTGGAAAACTCTAAAAACAAATATGCATGTTTAACGCTATTTAGCAAAAATCACATTTAGATACTCCCTCCGAGAAAAATGATATGTAATTGAGTAATTTTTTAGGACAGAAGGACTAGTATTTTTCAAACAATATAAAGATGATCATGCTGATTCCTCCAGGTCAATGTAGTACGTAAAAACAGTTTCCAAAGCAATTCTTGTTCTTGAGCATTCTTGTTCTTGTTCTTGTTTTTGTTTTTGATGCTTTACTTATTCAGCATGTTGGTCACTCTGTTTTGCCATCGCTTTCTTGTCCTCTTTATTTAAATCGTGTTTTGCATGTTTCTTCTCTTACTAAGCCTCTGTTATCTGTTCAAAAATTTACCCGTGATAATCACTGTTTCTTTGAATTTTATTCTGACTCTTGTTGTGTTAAGGATCTTTCAACCAAGGAACTCCTCTTCCGCGTTCGGGCTGATAATGGTCTCTATCGCTTAGATCTTCCTGCTCGTGGTTCCTTGTCTCCAGCAGCTTATCTTGTCTCTCTAGGTCAATGGCATGCTCGTTTAGGGCACCCTAATAATGTCACTCTTCGTACTTTGGTTAGGCAGTTTCAACTCCCTCATTCCTCTGTGTCCATGTCCACTGATAAATGTGAGGCGTGTTGTTTAGGGAAGTTGCATAGGGTTAGTTTACCTTCTACTTTTTATCGTAGCTCTAAATCTCTTGATTTAATTCACACTGATGTTTGGGGCCCTGCTCCTATTTTGTCATTCAATGGTTATCGCTACGTTGTGCTTTTTATTGATGATTTCTCTTTATTCACATGGATTTATCCCATTAAGCATAAAAGTGATGTTTTTCATGTTTTCAAGCAATTCAAAGCTCTCATAGAAAATCAATTTAGCACTACCATTAAAAGTGTTAACTCTGATTGGGGTGGTGAATTTCGTTCCCTTAATTCTTTCTTTAAGGATGTCGGCATTGTTTATCGTTTAGCGTGCCCACACACTCATGAGCAGAATGGCACTGCTGAACGCAAAATTCGTCACATTGTCGACATTGGCCTTGCTCTCCTTGGTCATTCTAGTACTCCTTTTCGGTTTTGGGACTTTACTTTTGAAACCGCTGTGTTTTTGATTAATCGCCACCCTAGTAAACCTCTTCAAGGTCACCTACCCTTCACTACACTATATCACCAGCCACCTGATTGTACCTTTCTTCGTGTTTTTGGCTGTGCTGTCTATCCTCTTCTTTGCCCTTATAATCGACATAAATTCTCCTTTCGTTCTACTCAGTGTGTCTTTCTTGGGTATTCTCCATCTCATCTTGGTTATCGCTGTTTTGATGTGGTGAATAACCGTCTTTATGTTGCTCGTCATGTTGAGTTTGATGAGAAACTCTTTCCCTTTAAACGTCCTATTTCTAGTTCTCCCTTTTCGCTGCAGGAGTCTTCTACTATCCCTTGGTTGCGTGTAACCAGTTCTCCTGGTATGCTTGCTTCGTCTTCTGCGCCCTCTTTGTCTCCTTCTAGTACACCAGTTCTTTCGTCTCCTCCCATCCCTCCCGACTCATCATCTTTAGCTAGTTCTCCTGCATCCAGCTCTTCATTACCTGAGTCTAGTTCTCCTCCCCCACCTCCTCCTCCTCCTTCCCGTCAGCATTCAATGGCACTTCGTCTGCACCCCAAGTCCAAGAAAATCTTTGATCCCTCGGCTCATCTTACCTCTTTTTCCCCAGCTTTGTCTACTGCTCTACATCGTTCACCCAATCCAAATCTGTTCCTCAGTGGCAGAATGCCATGAAAGATGAAATTTCCGCCCCCTCAAAAATAACACATGGACTTTAGTTCCCCCTCCTTCCTCTGGCAATGTTGTCGGCAATCGATGGCTCTATAAGATTAAGACCCATGCTGATGGCTCCATTGAGCATTATAAGGCTCGGTTGGTGGCTCGAGGTTTTACTCAGTCTTTTGGGGTTGATTACACTGACACCTTTAGTCCGGTTGTTAAGCCGGTCACTATTCGCTCGGTTTTAACAGTTGCTTGGCTCGTGGATGGTCGATTTCTCAGCTTGATATCAGTAATGCCTTTCTTAATGGTGTTCTGAGTGAGACTGTGTATATGGTTCAGCCACAGGGTTTTGTTGATCCGGTACGCCCTCATTATGTGTGTAAACTGCATAAGTCCTTATATGGTCTTAAGCAAGCTCCTCGGGCCTGGTATTCTCAGCTGGCTGCGTTTCTGATCACCTTGGGTTTTGTGGAGTCTCGTTGTGATCCTTCCCTCTTTGTCTATCGCTGTGGGTCTCAGTTGTGTTTTTTGCTGGTCTATGTGAATAACGTTATTCTTACAGGCAGCACTTCTGGTTTGGTCTAGCATTTCATCTCTTGTCTTACTAAGGAGTTTTCTCTTCGGGATTTAGGTCCGTTGAGTTACTTTCTTGGGGTCGAGGTTCGTCGTACTTCCAAGGGTTTGCTCCTCTCTCAGCGTAAGTATGTCACTGATTTGCTACGCCTAGCAAATATGCATACTTGCAAACCTATTTCCACTCCTTTGCAGGCTAATGTTGTGTTGTCCCGTTTGGATGGTACTCTGTTGTCTCTTGATGATGCGACTACTTATCGTTGTCTGTGTGGCAGTCTGCAGTATACCACTCTCACTTGTCCAGATATCTCCTTTACAGTTAATAAGCTTTGTCAGTTCATGCATCAGCCTTGCACTTCTCATTTTCAGGCTCTCAAATGGTTGCTTCACTATCTTCGTGGTACCGTTGATTTCTGTTTAGTTCTTTATCCTACAGATTTGGGCACTCTTACTGCTTTTAGTGATGCTGACTGGGCTGGTTGTCCGGATGATCGTCGTTCTACTACCGGTTTTCTCATTTATTTGGGACCTAATCTCATTGCCTGGGCATCTCCGAAGCAGCCCACTGTGGCTCACTCGTCTACTGAGGCTGAGTTTCGTGCGGTTGCTAATGTCTGTGTTGAACTGCATTGGGTGTGTCATCTATTGTCCGAGTTAGGCGTTTCTTTACATCGCCCTCCCTCTATTTGGTGTGACAATAGTAGTGCAGTTTTCCTTGCTGTCAATCCTATGTTTCATGCTCGTACCCGACATGTTGAGGTTGATTTTCACTTTGTTCCAGATCATGTTCGGCGAAAGTTTGTTTCGGTCAACTCTATCTCTGCTGTTGATCAGCT